TTCATGGCATAAAACAAATAGAATACAATCTGATTGTGCTTATTCAATGCATGTATATGTAATTAGGGGAGCAGATGTATGAATTGATTGAAGAAGATGGTGGATCAGTGCATATGTTTTCCCATTACAAGCATGCAATTTCCAAGCTTTTTCCAGACAGAATGAGGACTAGTTCTTTGGCACAATATAAATCTTGTTTTTGCAATGGTCAAAAATTAGTTATTACTGGTTAGTTACTTGTGTTCAAGCTCAAGCAATATAAATATGTCTCAAACACACTCATATAGCGAGTTTGGCATCCAACAGAGTTTGTGAAAGATATAGTATTAATTACTTTATATATTTTGAATTTTAATCCACAAGTAGATATATGAAGTCAATAGCTAGTAGCAATGAATTGCTACAATGAGAACTTTAGGTAACTCCATCAGTAATCCAGTAACCTGATTACAAGAAAGAAACGACCTAGAAACTAAAATAAGGTAACTTGGTCAATCTAATAGAGACGGTAACCAGTTTGTACAAAATAACAGATAGAGGATTTAGATTCTGGTAGTAATAGTCTAATAGATGATGGTTGGTCTCTAATGCAAAATGTATCATCTGTAGAAGTGGCTTATTTTGGCATCAATCTTCTTTTCAAACACAATGGTCACAGGGAATAAAATGGCAAAAGAGCCCTATGCCTTTGAGGTGAGATGGCAAGAGGCCAAGAGAACAAGGGAGAGTAAAATGAAAAAGGTAGGGGGTAGAGGAATGCCTCCTGAAAGCATTGTCCTGATTTGGAAGTATATCCAGAAGCATATCCAGATTTTGCTTGCCTGTCTCCCCCCTATATATATTTGCAATGGCAACATACAGAGCAAGGCAAGAAACAGAGTGAGCTCAAAAAAAGAATGAGGAGCAAATAAAGCAGAGTGAAAGGACTTTCTGGAAAAACAAAACCAACAGAAATCAACGATGGCTATGGAGTGTTCAGGGTAAGAATCACAGTGCGGTTCTCCTCTGGCATGGAGGCCAACATAGCAGGCATTGGAGAATGCACAGCACTACCGCCATCCCTGCCAAAGGAGAATTGCCCTGCCATTCGGTATAACCCTGCCTCGGTTTCGTTCTTGCATCAGAGTGCTATTTGCAAGCCAATGATGGGAATGGCTAATGTACTAAAGGTGTTGCATATGGATCCTATTCAAGCACCTTTGCAAAAGACTTGCAGAGAATGCTTTTACTAGTGTTGTACAGTGCAAACCTAAAAAGCCATAGTGGGAGCAGCATTTCTTACTTAATGATGCATCTTAAATAGCACATCATGTCAAACAAATCAAGGATAAAGTGAATGCTCAAAAGTAATTGCTCAAATAGAAGAAATAAATGATTCAGTGAGTAAAGAAGTTTTTTATAGCCTACCTGTTTGTTCATATAGCCATCCATCTTCTGAATAGATAAAGATATAAACTAGTTCTCTTTTGAAACATAATCCACTTCCCTTCATTGTAGGGTCAATTATCAAGGTGCAGAAGAGTATTTAGTATAAGCATGTAATTCCATTCAAATAGTGAAATAATTTGGTGACTATCTTTCATTCCTGGTTGGAAATGAGAAATGTTTATAAAGAAACAGTTGCGTAGAGTTGTTTTGGTCCTAGTTAACTACAGGTGTGCAAGGCACCCTTAGAATAGTAGCTGACTAAGAAGAGGTGAAGATACACTCTAGGTATGTACCTATGATGGATAAACATAATCCAGATATTCTGTCCCCATGTGTTTACCTATGGTTAAACCTTATCATATTGGAGAGAATAAGGACCCACAAAATAAAGGGTGTCAATACTCTGATTGTTACAGCTATCCAGGTAAGATTTGATGAATAAAATCATGAAATCAGATCACTATGTTTTCCTGATCATTCCCTTGAAAGTTACACATAATTTGACACATCAAATTCAGGCCGAATAATTAATAAACAATGAAGATCTAAATATTTAAAAAAAAATAGCATAGCAATTCAAAGTGCCTTCTATAGCACGATAGTGTCAACATTTTGTTAACCGTTTGACACTAACTATGCTAGCTATGGATAATAGAATCAATAACCACTTTTCACAGGGCAATCATACAAACAAAAGTGCAAACACAATCAGGTCTATAATCAAACAGCCAACTGCAAACTCTTAAATGTAACAATATTCATGAATTTTAGTACAGCAACCTCCTCTTTGTCTCCTAAGTGAAGCAAGGTGGTTGCTCCTTGTAAGGGATTTATTCTTCTTTTTGTCGCCGCTTCGATTTGGTCATCTGCTGACACGTTGGAGAATTTGGAATGAGTGGACACGTTGGAGAATTTGGAATGAGTGGAATGGAACGCATGGTTCCTTCGGGGAGTTCTGCTTTGGCTGCCCCCAACTAGCGGAGAAGATTAAAGAAGAGGCGAGGATATTGTTGGTAGTAGGCTTCTCGCTACCCTATCAAACACGTTAGCTTAGCTCTCTGGTTTGATGTTTAGGCATCACTAACTCACAGTTACCCTCCTTGTAACTGTTTGTGTCCTAGACCTCTAGGCTGGTCTTTGTAATTTGTAGCCTCTAGCTGTCTGTACTCTTTGTTTTGTCGCACCCGTAAACTTTGCCTAACACCTCTTAATGCAACATGTGCAATGCATGTTCTTGGAAAAAGAAGTAATACAAAGATACACAACTCTCTTAGGTGTTCGAGAAAAAAATTATGAATTTCCTATTTGTAGAATCTGTGCACCATTTGTTTGGAGGGAACTCCATGAGGTTTGTAAGCACAGCTGAACAGCCTTGCACTTCTTTGTTTGTTTTGTTGAAAATAACACCTCACAGTAACTCATATCAACAGAAGAATAAAGTAGTGACGAGATTTAACCAACCAAATTACAACCATTCTTTTGATATATGATAGCTCACTCTCTCTAATGGATAATACCCAAAGAAAATTATAAAAAAATATAAAAATATATGTAGTTGGCTTAAATTGATTGTTCACCATTAAGACAAGCATGAAACAATTGGGACTGTCAAACTGTACTTGCTCCTTCATAACTGGGGAAGGGCAAAAGGCAGAAAAAAACTCGGAGAAAAGGAAATCCTAGCTCTCCAGGAACATCAATTTTCTATTCTTTTTATGGGGCATGCAGAAGAGCTGTGTTATAGTACTAAATAAAGCTGTGTATCTTGGTTCTTCAGGGAAGTAAATTTCTCTAAACCCGGCTTGATGTTTACTTTGGTGCTAACAGCTGGTGAGTAGCATTCTTCCAGTTTTTTCAAGGCAATATTGATGTAAAAATTTGTTCTCAAAAACAATATTGATGTAAAAATCAAATGAACATGTAACTTGTGTGCTGACCTGTGGCCTCTTCACATTTAAAGTTTTGAGGAAATATCTGCTTGAAAATTTTTTTATCACTTCATCAACCATTTATACTGTATCTGCAATTGCAGCATTAATAATAATTACAAGCAGTACATTATAACCTCATTTGTGTGTATCAAAGGACAGTGCCGATGTATTTGGATTATGGAACAAATACTGGGATCAGAGGATGGAGTCGGACACCTTAACGACTTTAGTGTAAGCAAAAGACAGGAATATGCTTTGGTGATCCCATCACATCCTCCTCAAATCAGCATAACCAATAACAACCCAGCAGAGTTAGCATTCATTAATTTCTTATCAAAACCACCTAGTTGCAGCCCAAATATTATAATACTGCATCTGCGCACATTACCCTGGATAGAGAAGATGTAAAGATCTACAGGTAAAGTGCCTGCATACCACCAAATGTTGGTCGAAAATTGGCAGCCACTACCATTTCCTCCTCAATACAAACAAACACAAAAGTTCATGAAAACTACTACTACTAGCACATTTGACTAACAGAATCTAATTGTGGTACTGTGTATCTGTATATGCATCTGCTCAGCCACCGAAGATTGAAACACATGAAAATCACAAGAATTAATCTCGGCGCACATTATGACATTGAAAATGGTCTGGTTGGTATTGCAGAGATAATAAACCTCTTGAAACAAAGCAGTCACAAGAAAATTGGCAGGACCGATGTCTCCTAGCTAGGTTGGATAGCTATCTCCATGAAATTTTCTTGTGCAGAATAGAAGCAAGAACGGGTGGATCCTATGAGACACAACTATTGCGGATTTGAAGTTGGATCTGCAATCGGATCAAAGGATCAAAGGAGCAGCCAGAGGTCGCTATGAGAAGAGAACCTACCGTTTCGTCCCCACCCACCCGCCGAGAGGAGAGCAGAGCGGCGAATTTTGTGTACCTCCAGCGAAGGGGAAAAGCTGTTAGCCGCCAGCGCACATGTTGCGAGAAAGAAACATTGGTCCGGCTGAAAAAAAAACAGAATGGTGCCCTCGCCGCCCGCAGGTGGGGACCCACTTATTGTTCATTCCGAGTTCTTGCGCTGACATGTGTGTCCCCACTCCCCAGCCAGGTCCGCTAAAAAGATCGTAGTTACAGGTGCTTGTCTGATCCCTGAACACTGTTTGATCCTTGAACTAGAGTTAGTTCAACTAAAATTTAGATAAAAAAAAAGGAGACAAAGTCTAGCCAATTAAAGTTTAGTGACTTTAGTCTGTGCTGTTTTGATATAAAGAGAGAGCCTTGAATTTGAATTTTCAACACATGTACAGCAGTGTAATTACAAATTCACTCCACCTAGTATTGAAGCTTCGAGAATTCAGAATTTGGTAAGCATGAAGCACCTTTCTATTTTGAACATTTCATAAGTTTGAACATGGTAGCAGTGGATTTACAGCAAAAGCAATACCATGCCTCGGATACACAATACAATAATAGAAAGATCTCAACTGATCTAACCTTCAGTTTTTTTTTTCAGTTTGACAATAAACTCTCTAGGTAACATAGAAGCTGCTAATGCCACTACCAATTCTCAGTCGCTGGAAATGCCATAACATAAGCTACATCACACAACTCCAAAAAATACAGCAGGGCAGCTCAGCTAGAGCAGCAGCCGCCCTTCTTCACCGCCGAAACATCATCCTTTATGTTGATCTTCTCGCCCTTGCCAGGCCCAGATGCCGCATCTTCGCCTGCTTCAACTGTTCTCTTACTCACAATGCGGTAGATCTGAGTTAAGACCTCTGCAAATGCATTCTCAACGTTGGTCGACTCAAGTGCGGAGGTCTCCATGAAATACAATGATTCTCTCTCTGCGAATGCCTTTCCTTCATCAGTTTGAACTGCTACAAGATGGCGGAGATCAGATTTGTTGCCAACCAACATAACAACTATATTGGGATCTGTGTGGTCCCTCAACTCCTTCAGCCAACGCTCAACGTTCTCAAAGGTTGAGTGACGAGTGACATCATATATAAGCAACGCCCCAACAGCACCACGGTAATATGCACTAGTAATAGCACGATATCTGCAGTAATATTGAATCGGAAATGCAGTGAGATAAGTAAACCAAAAGGATAGCATTAAAATTCAGTTATGTGAACACCAAATAAAAAAACATTAATACAACTGACCAAGTAAGTAAACAAACAAATACGTATGTGCAATCTTTCAGATTATTCAAAACTTCGCTCATCTGCAACAGTCTTGTCTCTCCCACAGTGATGATTCAACTAAACTTCGGTCAGGTACTCAGGTTTTGTCTGTTCAGAGAGGGTGTTGGTGTGTTGTGTATCTACAGGTCTGGGCGACAAGATTCCCTTTATTTTGACCGCATGGTCGACAGGGAACCCAAGCTGTGTGTAGGTCTTATGCTGACGAAAATACTTCAAAAGAGCTTAGGATAATTTACTAAACAATATATTAAAATAATCAAGCACCAATGAAACAGACAATTACTCCACTTGAGATGGAAAGTATAGAATTCACTCCTAACAGAAACAACAGTGCTACTGCCAAAAAAGCAAAAACAAACTCTACTTGAAGCATAAGGATACCCTTAGATCACTGTCAATTTTTATACAAAATGCTAACAAAAAACCGATAAGGCAACTTTTTTTACAAAAAATCGATAGTGATAGATGCAGCACTAAACAAAAAACATTACTAGCTCATCGACCATCCACTAGGTTATCATATTGTCAAATGAAATCCATCGCATCAAATTTCTTGTGTCGTAGTGGGATATTGGTGGAAGGAATGCCGTACGAGTTAAAGACAGAAAGTACTACATGCAGATTAAATCACTGATCAGGAAGTACCAACAATTGTTAAATAAGACACAATTGTTGACTCTGACTGGCCATTGTTGTTTGAATAGGCCCTTGTTTCGATTTCTACATGCAAAGCTGCAGACTTTCTGTGTGCACCTGTCAGATCATGTACCATTCTGCTCAGACTCTACTACTCTAGTTCTTCAATGTGAACAAGTCACATGCAGCAGTGCACAATGTTAACATCCCCCTTATAATTTCCAATAGAAAATTTTCTTCCTCATAGAAAGAAACAGCACTACACTCCTGTGTTATCACGGCTAACTCCCATGCTTATAAGTATCAAACGACTTCGATGTACTTCGTGTGGATTCCTCATTTGTCCTAATTAATTTTAGTTGCATTAATAAATGCCACCAAAATTGCTCTACAAAGTTGTCTAGACTTCTTACCAGCAGTACAGATTGCAAACAACACACAATCTATCTTCCCCCTTAGAATCCACATCACACCCAAAATCAAAGAATTTAGTTCCATGGCACATAAACAGGACAAAATCCTGGAAAGGTGCACATACATTACTGTGCAGTCCATTAGTTTAAGCTACTGGATATATCTTTGTTTGCCCTTACTCAATTCAGTCATTTTTCGAAGATTAGGTGTTATTTTGGCAGCCTTTTCTATTGAAGTTTTGTCTTAACTAATTCTATGCCACTAATAAGTGCTAGTGAATACAAACTGTGGCAGGTCATTTCCTTATGTCACAAATAAGCTTTAATCAATACAAACTCTGGCAGATCATTTCCTTCACACTCTTGAAGAAGAAAATTTATCTATAATACAAGGCGCATTTAGGTCCTAGGCGCATTACATCTTGAAGCATCAATTTATGTAACAATTGAGACAATAATATAGATGACATGGAAACATGATCAGCATATACAACAAATACTCACTGCAAGTATGTAAGCAAATGACAAAAAATTCCCAATCACAAGGATTAACCCCAATCATAGATATGTCCATCTAAATAACTGGCAGAACAGCTAACAAGAGTTCACAGAATGGTGGAATGAAGAAAAGGACAAATAAAGTCAAATTTTGTCACTCTTCAGAAATGCTGTGCAGTATGGAACAAGATGAATAGCCAAACTTTTGCGTTAATCATAAGAATGCAAATTATTTTGATGGGCAGTTTCAATTTCATAAAATGGAATGGGTTTTTAAGTTATGCTGTTCCAAAGTAAGCATCAGTTCTAGTTTGGGGTGACCGTGTTCAGCAAACCTGTTTATGACATATATATAATAGTACCAATTGTAGCAGGGCCCAAGACTACTGAATTTTAGGGAAAAAACAGTGTACAGAATATACCTATTTATAGCATTGTGTGTTTTACTGTTTTTATGACTAAATTAACTGAATTGGCCAAGCATGCTGCATGCATACAATAGAAAAGAAAAATGGCCGATCTGTCCGCCTAGGTCCAATGACCATCGTGAGCAAAGACAAAGAAACCTAGTAGCCTTCAGAAAGTCATCACCAGTCCACGCCACCTGCTGCGAACGAGAAAACCAGACTCCAGACAGTCTCATAAACACGTTTGGGCAATAAAAGAATATCCTATCATCCTACAACCCTAGTCTACAATCGGATGCTTGCCTGCTGATTCGTCGCGTGTAATTCCATTCCAGGATCGGATCCAGACATGGGAAAGGCACTAAACCCTACGCTACAAATGGTTGTCAACAACAGCACGCGACGCAATTCGGCAGCGAGATCCAAAGCGCAGAGCCCCACGCTTGCGCGGTTGAAACGAGGACGCGCACGCTAGCAGCAGCCGAGCCGAGACGCAGATCAGATCTACCACGAGTTGCTTGCCGCGTCGGCGGCGGAGGGAGAGGAGATGGGGCGAGCTGAAAGGAAACGAAACGTACCGTTCCTGGCCGGCGGTGTCCCAAATCTGGGCCTTGACGACCTTGCCGTCGACCTGGAGGGAGCGGGTGGCGAACTCGACGCCGATGGTGGACTTGGACTCGAGGCTGAACTCGTTGCGCGTGAAGCGGGAGAGCAGGTTGGACTTGCCGACGCCGGAGTCGCCGATCAGGACCACCTTGAAGAGGTAGTCGTAGTCGTCCTCCGCCCGGTAGCCCGCCGCCATTGCTCCGCTCCGCGCCGCTCCCGGGCCCTCTCTGCTCTCGTCGTGCCGATCTGGTTTTGGGGCGAGAGAGAGCGGTGGCCTGCCTGGTGGGGGGGCGTGGGGAAAGGAGGGAAGAGGGGGAGGAGGGAAACGGGAAAGGAAGGGGGGCACGGGCACGGCAGCGAGCGCGGCGGGCGGTGCGGTGCGGTGCGGGCGCGTGGACTGCGGCGGGTGGAGGATTTTGGTCGGGTGGGTTTCCGTTTTCTCACGCCAGTGATAGCGGTAACCGAGCCGACGCCACGGCTAAAAAAATGGAAAACGCGTCCTTTTTTTTTTTTGATAGGGAAACCGCGTCCTTGCCCCCAAGTAAACTTCGATTTTCCTGAATTCAGACGCCAGTCCATGTTGTCAAGTTTGTCACGACATTTCTCTAAGGTCGAACGCATGAATTTCACGCAAATCGCATATTCACTAGAATTAGTTTATATCTTGAAAAAAAACGTAGCATAAAAAATCATCACATTCTAATAAAAGAAATTAAAACATGTCGACACAATAGCAACATCGTCCCTCCAACTACAAGCAAGTTTAAAGTTTTGTAACACGTTGTAGATATGCAATAAAAGCAAAGTACTATTATATAATAATAACTCTTTTTACTGTACCGTTTAATGTTTTCCTTCAGAAGAGGTACTCTTTGCATTCCAAACTGGGGTGGAGCCAAGGCCCGGCTACCCTAGGTCGCTGCTCAGGCTCCCTTGCTACTTGCGCTTTAGGCAGCCCAAAAAAACTTGGTTGCAGACTCCTTGCACCGTGTTTCCGTGCAGACCCACCTTGGATAGAAGCCACGTGATCCAAAAAGCCCATCACATGGTCAGGATGGTTAGCAAAAGGCCCACCGAAGTTGGGCCACTAAAGTTTAAGCCTGAGCCAACCACCCCTAGCCGTGTGATGGGCTTTTTGGGACACGTGACTTTCATCCAAGGTGGGTCTATATGGACACTGCAGGGGGTGTGCACCCAATTTTTTTCCCTAGGGAGGGCGTTGCCATGGCTTCTGCTATCACGTACGGGGAATTGAGAAGAGACGGAGAGGAGAGCGCTCAAGGGGATTGCGACATGGTGCTGAGAAGGGATGAGAAGACCGAGGGGACGCCATTACTCCATATGGCGGGGAGGTCGAAGCGACGCTATATGCACCGACCTCACCCCCAATCGCATACCAAGTCAGCCCCAACCCTCCTTCATTATCTCTATTCTGCCTCTTTTCCAATCTCCAATCCAAGCTGATGGATTTGTTCTTCTCGAGCTGCCGCTTCTTGTGAAAGCAAGGTTGCAAGGCTATGGCCGGTGGTCGGTGTCCGGCAAGGCAGAGTCGGCGACGGGCAGCACTAACATGAAGTTCCCAACCCCACAAGGCACAAGCGTAGCCCATTGCCATTGAACATCGCCTACAACTAACATTGACATCGGTGCTGCTTCTAAGAATCTTAGTTCGCAATTTGAGAAAAAAATAGAAATGGTAGAGGGGAGGAGTTGAGCCCACTAGGTATTTAACAGAGCTTGTAAACAATCAGAAGAATTGTACAAGCTCGTTTAACTTCTACTTTACGTTGTTCAAGATATCTCTTAAAGTAAGGCCTTGTACCAAACTCGTTTAACTTCTACTTTACGTTGTTCAAGATATCTCTTAAAGTAAGGCCTAGCTTTTCGCGGGCACGATGAATCTTCTTCCTCTTTGAACAAAGGCAATCTTCTAGAGTTGATAGATTTTCTAAAAGAAAACAATGAAGAAGTCAGGAATGCGTATGATCTGGGTGGCTTAAATTCTAAGATGACTTCCCATGATATCCAAAAGGATCTTGCAAGGTGCTGTGCAGAAGAAATAACTGAAGCAATTATGGAAGAGATTGGTAATAGGCCATTCTCTATTCTCATCGATGAATCACATAAGTAAAAGAGCAAATGGTTGTTAGTTTAAGGTTAGCAACTAGTATATTGTGTTAGTTCTATCATAGTTGTGTAATTCTATTACAATATTCGGTTTTAATAATGTTTTGTTTAATTGGTGTACTATTGCAGGTATGTGAATTCCAAAGGGAATGTGGATGAACGATTTCTTGCTCTTGTACATGTCAAACACACTACAGCCGATGCATTAAAGGAAGCATTGTTCGTGGTCCTTGGTAGGCACAAGTTATCAGTTTCTCGAATACGAGGGCAAGGATATGACGGGACTTCGACTATGAGAGGTAAATTTAACAGGATGTAGACAAAAGATTCTAGATGAAAACCCATATGTGTTCTATGTCCATTGTTTTGCCATTACAGCCGGTTGTTGTTTCGGTTGTGAATTGTTGCTCTCTTGTCAATGATTTTTTTGAGTATATATCTTTGATTGTGACCACAATAAGTACATCTTGCAAGAGAAGGGACAAACTAGTTGAAAACCAGTGCCAAATACGACTCTGCGATGTATTGAAACTGGTGACGTACCTACAGGAAGAGGCTTGAATCAAGAAACTGTCCTTGCTAAGCCTTGTCATGTGTGCTACTCATTTGATCTACTATGTGCGATATGCTGATTACTGCTCTGTCTATCCCAAGTTATAAGACGTTTTGGTTTTTATAGGTACGTAGTTTTTGCTATATACTTAGATATACACTTGTCTAGATACATAATAAAAATAATGTATCAAAAAACCAAAATGTCTTATATTTTGAAATGGAAAACACCGACCGTCTACTTACCAAAGTTTGGTTTATTGAAACGTGGATGTGTAATTCAAATTGAGTTATGTGCACAGGAGGAAGAGAAATGGAAGAAAAAAAGAAATTTAAGGTGAGGGATTTCAGTAATCCGTTGGAGGAGGGTCAAAGAATATTAGGAGACTATCTTTTATGCAGTTCAAGGAATGAACTATTGATAATCTGCTGGAGAGGGTCTAACCAACCAAGAGTCGGATGTGCATCACGTAGGTTCAGGGTACGGCAAAGCTTTTTGTCGCTGTTTAAGATCTGGTGTATCATATACCGGTGACTAGCTGCCATGCTGGATTCGTCTAAGCTCCTCGTGAAGATTAATTGCAATCAGGCTGGTTTCCACACTTCAATTTTGAAGTAGCTTTTAGGGAGTGTTTGGTTCTTTTCGTTCATAAAATTCATGTCACATCAAATATTTAGATATTAATAAAGAACATTAAATATAGATTAATTATAAAACTAATTACATAGATGGAGGCTAATTTTGAGACGAATTTTTTAAGCCTAATTAATCTATCATTAGCACATGTTTACTGTAGCGTCACGGTGTCAAATCTGGACTAATTAGGCTTAAAAGATTCGTCTCGCAAATTAGTCGCAAGTTGTGTAATTAGTTTTATAATTAATCTATATTTAATACTCTATATATATGTTAAACATTCGATGTGATAGGAATTTTAGGAGATGGCTAAAGAAATAAACATGCCCTTAGTTGGCTGCTGCAACTTGCTGACGGCATGTACTAGTGTAGTAGGAAGATGGAGCCAAATGGGGAGCTAGTTTGGACGTACGACAAGGCATCCCCCCGGCCCCCTTTTGCCAAAAGTGTCATTTAATTTTCTGCATTCATGATTTCTAAGTCAAAAAAGTGAGCAAACCTAACGTGGTTACGTGATTTCTCACGAGCCACGCCAAATGTGCCTGGGTTCACAAGCTATCAGCCTATCACAGTAGTTTTTTTTTTGGGGAACAGCACTTCAATAATTAAATTGTTTCATTACCATCGTACCGCAGACATCTCCGCAAGAAGCTAGGAGGTGAGTCAACGCCATACATAATTTTGCCTGGTAACCGATACATGTTGAGCACATAATGAGCTACAAAATTCGCTGATCTCCTGTTGTGCACTACCCTGAAGGAGGTGAACGCCGACACCACCTCCTCTGTGTCCTCCGTAATTGCAGCAACTTTTGAGCGGCGCTTCCTTCAGTTCCTCCGCAGTGAAACCAACACTTGGGCATCTGTCTCTACTAAGATGTGTTCTTATATTTTGTCGTTGTGAAAAGTGACCAACAAGTAAATATTTGTTGTTTTACCGTGTTTTGTGATCGGATATGGCCTAGCACGCGATGATAGGATTTATACTGGTTCAGACAACGTGCCCTACGTCCAGTTTCAGTCGGTCGATGACTTTATTCCTAAGCCGGGTGCTCAAAGTTTGCTGTGGGGTTACAAACGATGAGGAATGAGAAAGGGGTGTTAAAGGCCCGGTCGGGCTGTGAACCGAATGGCCGAGAGTGATGGGTGCTCTAACGTGCGCTAAGTATTGAAGCGTATGCTCTATGTAGCTGTCAAGTTCTAGGGCTATTGAGTTGTTCGAGTTCTCAGATCGTCGAGTCCTCGAGTCGTCTAGCCTCTTTTTTATTTCGAGAGCCAGCCAGCTTTTAGGAGAGAGCTCATCCCCTTTTATAGTTGAGGGGATGGCCTTACAAGTGAGTGAGAGAGAGAATATATACGTGTGCTACCTAGTCTTGTTGCCCACGCTGTTGGGTACGAGACAGTCATCGGCGCCCACAATATTATTTATGTCCAGACGCATCCGGTAGGCTCTCCGTGTTCGTCTGGTACAGCAAACGTCGGTGCCTACAATACTGTTTGTGCTCTGACACGTCTAGAAGGTTGCATAGTGCCCATCTGGCATGGCCTGGTGGCACCGTCCTGTAGGTGCGTAGGGCATGGCATGGTACGGTCCTCGGTATTACGATTGACTTGAGCGCCTTACCTTATCCGCTCCTGCCTGATCCTAGGGCTCTCACCGAGCAGGCATCCCCGGTCAGTCGTTCCCAATCGACCCCGACCGTGTCGGTCGAGAAAGGGTAGCGAGCAGAGGTCCAGCTTTTCCTCGGTCGGAGAAAGAGGCGGAGTCGGACCGTGGTTCCACCTTGGCCAGGCCCTCCGGTCGGGGACCAGATCGTTGTCTGGCTCTGTCATTATGTATCTGGGCCAACCCAGGCACGTGTTGTCGTTGCGCCGCTTGCT